GTTATTTTGGGTAAATGCTATAGTTTTAGTGACATTTTTGAAAATATTTTTGAAGGTGGTATTTTAAAAAAGTGGCATTTTAAAAGTGTTAGTTTTAAAAATTTCTCAATATATAATTTCATTTTCGTATGGAAAATTTGAAAAATGCCATTTTTCATGTGCACATTTGCAAAAATGCCATTTAGGGGTGTTCATTTATAAAAATGCCACTAATTATAGATTTTTAAACTCAATATTTTAAAATTCTACACACTAAAAAATGTTTTGACCCCTAAACCCCCCTAAACCCTCATAACTAAACCCTAATAGAACATAATTAACCCAAACATAAATAATATAAAGAAAAAATAATTTTGAAAAAGTGGCATTTTTCTAAAGATTTCAAAAATGTGGCATTTTTGTAAAGTGGCACTTGAAAAGTGACATTTTTTAAAATTTTTTCTTTTCTTATTTATATTTTTGTCATTAACTAATAATGATTTAGCAAAAAAAAAAAGGTTGACATTGTCTTGAATATATTTAAAATGTGAGAATATCTGTCATTTTTAAATCAACTAGGTATCATTATGTTAACTTAAAATGTCAGTAAAAAAGGCTTAACCGCAATAAAACTATAAGAATCTACTTAGCTATTTACTCTCCCAAACCGGCAATGACATAACTAAACAACTTTTTTTTTTGTAACGATGGATCACAATTTTATCAAACCGAAAACCGGTACGAAGATATTACAAAAATTCAACTAAAATACCAATAGATGTTATATAAACGAAGTACAAAGTTTCATGTTCGGGACTTATGAATATTCCCAACACCTTAAAAAGGAAAACACCATCATCGTGAGCTCTTAGATTAGTATTACTATGCCAGCAACTTACTCACTTCAAGCAACAAAACAACTCTTTCTAAACTACTTTTCCGTAGAATTTGATTGGTTGATTCGCAAAACAACAATTTTTGCAAGCAATTGCGTTAGTGTATTTTTAAAACCAATCGTAAAGAACAGTTTAATTAGTTTATTGCGCAGCAAAATGTTCCAATAAAAACTTAGATTTCTCAACGTTTATAGATCATGGTATTTATTAATCACTTTATGATTTGTTTGAAATAGATTTTTAAAAACAAAAATTAATAGAAATGTTATGAAGATTATATTGATTGGGTCTGTTTAATTATCAATCATCAGAATGCGAACATACTTACTTTACATTAATCTTTGGTCAAGTTATATAAACCTCTCAATGACGTATATAACAACAACAAAACGATATCTTCCGCAAAATCCAACAACCGCACCGTAGCTACATTTGTACAAAATTCCCAAACTCCCAACTATTAATCAGTTTTACAAATTAGTTGTGTAATTGGCACCTAAACCGTTGAGGACACCAAATACATTATATATTCGTTCTTTGAAACAATACGTATACGTAACACAGAACGAGAACAAGAAGAATAAAACAGGAAGCCACTTAACATTGTACTCGTGGACAATGAAGTCAACGACATATACCGTTTGAGACACCATTGCTTTTTTCTGCTTTTCTTAAATCAGAAAAAAGAAAATAATCATTGATTTCTTTTTTGTTTTGATTCGACAGTAATTGGGTCGGTTGTTATAATATTATTAAAAACATGCTTATTAGTTATTTGAATAATTTTAAAAGCAGACTTGGTTGTTTTAGTTTCAATATCAACTGTCAAAATCCATCAACTTTCTTAAGAATTCGTTAATTTTTTTTACGTAGAAAACAAATCACACACATAAATTATTGTACTATTAAACTTTTTATTCGTTATGTCATATTCAGGAATCTTAATTATGAATGCTTCAATTCTACTCCACCATAACCAAGTCGAGTCTTGTCCTCCTAGTGACCTAACTTGCTTAACAACCTTATCGTCTTACTAACAACTCCATCTTTCAACATTAAAACACTTTTAGCTATGCCTATAAAATCATGTTCATTCTCAATTAGCTAAGCAACCCAAGATATTCTTTCTAAATACATTTTAATAACAGTAAAGAGAAACTGTTAAATATTTGTTTGCAAGTAAGTCAGATTTCGAAAAGTTTGTGGAAATGAATGCAAATCTAGTGCTCAATCTCCTAATTCTCATCACGGTAATCTTAGCAGTTTCTTTACACGTTGATGCACTCAGCCCTCACTACTACGACCAAACATGTCCACAAGCCGACCACATTGTCACCAATGCAGTCAAGAAAGCCATGTCAAATGACAAAACTGTCCCTGCCGCGCTCTTGAGGATGCATTTCCACGACTGCTTCGTCAGGGTACGAACTACTTACATCACATTCTAGTCATCTTTTGACTCCTATATATGTTTATATGATAATAATGTTGTTTGTGAATATTTTTTTATGATTAAAGGGATGCGATGGGTCGGTCCTATTAGACTCGAAGGGGAAGAACAAAGCAGAGAAAGATGGACCTCCTAACATCTCACTCCATGCATTCTACGTGATTGACAATGCAAAGAAGGCATTAGAAGAGCAATGTCCCGGTGTTGTCTCTTGCGCTGACATCGTTTCACTCGCTGCTAGAGATGCAGTCGCTCTCGTGAGTCTTGCTCCATATCTCATATTCCAAATACTAGTTGCATACAATATGATGATTCTAATGATCACATCTAAACATTTTATTTACTATGGATGTTATTTATTATAGTCAGGAGGGCCAACATGGGAAGTGCCAAAAGGAAGAAAAGATGGAAGAATATCAAAGGCAGTAGAGACAAGACAATTACCAGCTCCTACTTTTAACATTTCTCAATTACGTCAAAGTTTTGGCCAAAGAGGCCTCTCCATGCACGATCTTGTTGTTCTCTCAGGTATACCACATTCTACATATAGTCGAACATTTGCTATCTACAGATCAAAATGTCTTGCCATGGCTAATGGTATATTTTGGGAA